ATAAATAGATATAAAAGATTTATTTTTGAAGGTTGTTTGCGTGGGTATTATAAAATATAATTTTAATATTAAAATTAAAATTAAAAATTTTAAAATTTTGAAAAAATTTATTTCGTCAACAAATGAATGGGTAAAATAATGACACACATTCATTATTCATTATACTAAATACAATGAATTCATTTTACCTATTTATTTTATCGATTTCTGCAACATTGCATCATGAATAATAATGCGTCATTATGGTCATCTGACGGATTTTAAAATTTTAATCGTACAATCAACAGTAAATAGATTATTTATCGGAAATGAGAGAAAGAAAGAAATAAAGAAATAAAGAACAAAAAGATAAGATAAAGAATGAAAAGAATGAAAAGAACGAAATAAAATAATAAAGCAACTTAAAATTTCTTACAATAATTATAATTATGGTAACATTATTGCTGAAATTTATCTTTAATATTGTCAATTATCATTGCCTACTCACTAAATATTATTAGACAAAGAATGTTTGTACATGACCACGTGAAATACCATCTTTTTTCATCCACCACCTGTGCATCATCTTTTGCATATTCGTTGCATCTATTTTAATAAAATTGCATGATTGCGTACGTTTTTTGAAAGGGAAAAACAAAAAACGTGGTTAAACACACATTGATAAAAATTTGAATGAATGCTAGATTGAAAACAATAATTATGCAAAAAGCAAATTAAAAAAAAAAAAAAAGGATTTTCCGACATTTTTTATTTCCAAATTATTAATTGTTCATAGATTTTGATAAAAAAAAATTTTTTTTTGTAAAATTCAGGTTTTTTGTGGTGGTTTTGTTGATTATTAATATTGTATGATATACATACAGTCGGCAAATGTATATCCAATTTATGCGAATATATGCCCATGATTTAATTCCATGCGAAACATTTCTCTTGTTTTACGCCATAATAATAAAAGTAAGCATCTGAAAATCAAAAGAGCTAACGTCAATTAGAAAATTCTAGATTTCTGTGATGAGTTACAAAAATAGAACCCTTGTCTCAATTCCAAATGTATAGTAATAGTAATAGGGTGATAAATAAATTCACAGTTTTTTAATAATACCGTTAATTGGATAGTGGGAACAATACCTAGTTGACTTTGACTAATTATTAATCACAAATTTATTCAAATTTAGTACTTTCTACTCAATATGTTAATACCCCGCATCGTCACATTGAAGAGATAGTGTGATATTATTTATTGATTAAGTATTTGTATATATATAGATAGCTGAAGAGAACGAAGGATAACAAAGAGCGAAAATAGATTAATAATATAAATAAAAAAATTTTTTTTTTATATTGTTATTTTAAATTAATATTTATAAATAAATAGTGATAAAAATCTGGGAATTTTTTTTCTAAACAAACTAAAAAAAAATTAAAAAAATAAAAATTTTAATTTTTTTTTTTAATTAATATAATAAATAACACACATTACTATCACCTTAATAATACTACTAAATAAATAAAAAGTAAATAAATGTCGACTACGGTTATCATGACCAATGTGAACAATCTTGATAATTATTCTTCTGCATTAAGAAGAAACCAACATAAACTATATGAAAATATTAAATTATCCCCATCTCCTTTATTTCATCAACAAGAAGACCAAAGAATTTATGTTGATGAAGAGCTTGGTTATAACATTTATAAAAACAAAATCAAACGTAACGACGACGATGAAAACGAAGATGTAGAAGCTGTTGAAGGAATAGAAGATGATTGCGAAGAAGAAGACGATGAAGAAGAACATGATGGTATCATTCTAGATGACACTGAAATCAATGACGATGATAAAGAAATCGAGATAAAAGTTGATGATACCGACGACAAAGATCTAGTTGAAAATGAAAATGGAAATGAAATTGAAAATGATCTCAAAACCAACAGCAACAATCTCAACGGCAATCTTGATATCAACGCTCTCAATAACAACAACAGCAATAATCAATTCCCACATTTTGAATATGTTTCGTATGACAAAGTTCAAGATTTGTATGAACAAAAGAAAGGTCATTTCTACTTCATTCCAGAGGGCTTCGAACCAGTCCTTGTACCAAATGATACAAAAGCTCAAACAGTAACTAATCTTTTAGAATCAACAAAACCCGTGTCAGCCGTACCGAATGTTTCAAGAATGCTTCCTGATACTGATGTCCGGCTTCCCTCCTATGCATTACCATGTGGTGTTAATGCTGCTGCAAATGCAAAGAAAAACGATGCCAATAATGCAAATGCAAATAAAGCTAGTAATAAAGCAAAGAAACCTCCAAGACCACCAAATGCCTTTATTCTCTACAGAAGAGCAAAACAACCGGCAATAGTAGCTAAAAATGTTGGGATCTCTAATAATGATGTATCCAAGGAAATTGGAAAAATGTGGCATGAGGAGCCGGTGGAAATTAGACTCAAGTATCAGAAGATGGCCGAGGCCGCAAAAGAAGAACACACAAAGAAATACCCAGAGTATAGGTATCGTCCAAGAAGGCCACAAGAAAGAAAGCGTCGTTTATTAACTCGTGGAAAAGATAATGTCGAAGGAAGCGAAGTTGGAGGAAAGGCTGCAAAACGTCTTAGAAGAAGCTCTGCTTATGTTCTGGCTCAACGTCAAACAGTTATAAATTGTAACACTAATATGGATAATAATAATATGAATATGAATATGAATATGATGATGGATAATAATATTGATAACAACTTTAGCAATATAAGCAACTACAATTATGACAATCACCCTGATTCCAATCTTTACCATCAAAATTCACATCCTCATTATAATCATCCACACCATCAACAACAATTATTAGCGATTCAAAATCAACCACAAATGTATTATCATCAACAGAATCAAATCAATACCGCTCCCACTACCACTAGCAACACACCTTCTCCACCTCTTCATACGAATAATTCATTCTCAATGATTGATAATGATGTTAATAATAATAATAATCAGTTCACCACGCCCACTACAACATATTCTAATGATTTAATGGAATATCCAATATATAATCAACACAATCAACATAATTATAATCAACACCAACATCAACGTCCTCAACAAAATTATATCGACTTTGATAGTTATAACCATCCTCAATCATCTAATTTTAATAATCAGTTCATAACAAAAAGTAATTATTAGTTATTATTTTTCAAATTTTTATTGATTTTTTTTAATTTTTTTTAAAAAAAAACAAAGAATAAAATAATCGAGAACCTCCAAAAACATAAACAAAAGAAAAAAAAAGAGAAGACGGAAAAGAACGATGACAGAATTCAGCAACACAACACAACACCCGTCTCTCTTTTTTACGAGTGTCTCGTTCGTTATAATAATAACTCGATCAGTAGTAGTAGTTGGTAGCAGGAGTAGTTAGTAGCTAGTAATTTAATAGTAATTGAGATTAACCAATCGATTAATCCGTATCGTAATTTTTTTTATTTATTATGTATATATTATAACATCAATTTGTCTATTTATTCCAATCACAGCATTACATGCAAAAGAATTTTTTTAAAGCTTTTTATGAAATAATTTAATTTTTTTTTAAGGATTAAAAACTTTATTATATGCAAGTAAAAAAAAAACAAAAAAAACAAAATAAAAAAATAAAAAATTTATGATTAAAAATTTTTCAACGTTTTCAATTGATTCTTTTTTGAACAATCAAACTTTAAATTAATAATGTAACAAAGGTTCCAGCTATGTATGTATGACTGATTATAATAAACTGTATAACGTAAGCTTTTATACAAAGAAATTAATTCTTGTTAAACATTATGCACATCTTTACTTAGTACACATCAAATTCAGTTAGAAAAGATAGCATCAACGGTATCCTACCCTCGCTCTGTGACTGGAGGCTCAGTTTAACTGGGTCACTCTACCTGCTACTCCTGTAAGGTCAGCCATTTAGCCGATGTTGGGGTTAGTAGGTGCCGGATAATCATTATAACTCACCACTTGTGGCTTTTTAATGCTTACTCCTGGTCCTCCTTCCAACCTACTATATTGTTATTTTAGATGCTCTTCTATACGCCAGTCAGAAGATCACATATAGTAACCTTTTTTCGCTGTTCTTAGTATTAGCATCATGAGATTTTCCGCCACAATATGCGAAATGATTACATAATAATTATTATTATGTAATCTTACGCAGTATCATATAATAACATGCTACGTAATATTGCGTTGGAAAAATTTTCTTGATGTGAAGGCTAAACTATATGTATTTTGATTATTACGTTGGTTAATTTTGTAAATGACTCCTGACAAAACTAAAAAATCAGAATTGACTTAGGTTAAACATTCAGTAAAATGTTTGCAAAATAGTTTACATAACATTTAATCATTGTTAAGTTTTATTTTTTTACAGTGTGATCAGAAGAACTGGGATTATGATGGCCTCTGAATACGACGGTCCAAATATGTAAATTACGTTAATCTTTCTATCCTTGATGCGATCACAAGAAAGTTAATGAGTCCACCATTATACTTGCTGTGGTGAAGAAAAAGATTTATGTAGTAATATTTAAAGAGACTTTTCAAAAGAAAAGAGATTGTTGGCTTTTTTGAAGATTTGGATCAGAAATTTGAGTCAGTATGCAAAAATATCGGCGAGTGCCGGGTCTATTCTATTCATAAAAATCACGTAATTAAAAAAATAGCTTAAATTAAAATTCGCACATCCTTCAAATTTTATAAAGATAAAATAATATAATGGAAAGAATTCCATTGGAACACAAAATTTATGACTAAAAAAATACAAGTCGTCCCCCCTTTATAATCACACCCCTTGAGACCAGCTAAAGTTGTGATTATAAACGAATGGCTTATAGTAAGTGATTTTTTATATGACCATATATTGGTACTTCCTTAAGGCTGGAGTGATTATAGGTGATGAGTGACTATAAAAGAGGTGACTATATGGAGTTGACTGTTGACATTGATATAATAGTAATCGGCATTTTTGGGGAAACATTTGAATGATGTGTTATATTGTGATTCATACTGTAAATGTCTTTATTTAATGTTGGTTTTAGACCTTCTTAAAAAAAAGCAAGTCATTATTTTAATTCAAAAAAAAAAATCCCTTGGTTTTTCAGTAAAGAAAAGAATCATAGCGTTCTCAGTATTCACAATTCATTGACGATGATGATTCATGGCAAGTTATTTATTCGTTGGGGACCTTTGCGTTCACGTTCATTCCATATAAATTTAAATTGATTTTTTGATTGCTCTGATTTGATGTTGTTAATAATGATATTGTATAAATAATGCAAATTTCCGCTTTTAATCAAGCAACTAATAATATTCTACCAAAAACATTTTAAAATATCAGTGGTTAAAGAATTCTCCCGAGTAAAAAGGAAATTGCTGTTTACTATTATTATTGTAATAATAAAATTAGTAATATATATATATAAAGATAACTCTCTAAATTAGGCAACTATATTAATATTAAGGACAAAGACTTTTTACCATATTTATATCAATTGATATTTTTTTATTTTTATGAAAAATTTGCCATAAATGTTATTAGTATGGACGTTTTAAGGTCTCCAATTAAATCTATTTTCTGAGTTATGGAAAACAAACTGCAAGTCGGAACTCTTTCGTGAACTTTGAACCCAGAATTTATAATTTATTTTAAAGCCTTAATTAGCTTTACGACTTTGCATTATATATACCGTGGATGTTGTTGATAGATTTTCAGGGTTTTTATACGTTTTTATATGAATAAACTTAAATTTAAAATTATTATATTATTATTTAATTAAAGTTGCCATACTATATTAATATTCAATTATTATACCAAAGTTAATATTTGTATAATAATTAATTATTTAATTTTTATATTCAATATATAGAAAATTTTTTTTAGAAGATATCTCTTTTCCAATGATTATACCAATAATCCATAATTTTTTCTGGGACCACTCATCAAGCTGTTTTAATATTCCAATCTTTTCGTTCAAGTAAATGTTTTAGACTAATTAAAGGTTGAATGGTAAGGTCTAGATGATAATTCAACTATTTTCATTTATCCATTCTATTTGTTGAATCGTGTAACATTGCTATGCTGTTCTACCACAACATTCCCACTTTGGGACTTCTGTTTTTTATTTTTGTTTCATCTATTAAAGTTTGATAGTTTTTTGGCTATATTGGTTATGGAGAACATAAATGAGTCAAAAATTTTTTGTGAAGTAGTAGATATGTAAAAACCTGTAATCATTGTCTTTTCATTTTTGAGGAAAACATGTTATAAATCATAATCATAATTATAAAATACATAGCATACAAAACAGTAACTGTTAATATCAAGTATATAAATTTAAAACAAATCTTTATTTGAACTGAATTTTTTGGCTTGAAATGATCTTTGTCCCATTATTTGAATGATTTCTGTAGTATATAGTAAGTCAACAAGTTACAAAACAAAAAACCTTTTGTCAATCTTCAAAAATAGTTACCTAAGAGGAAGAGGATTCAGAGGGTAACTAAACTTAAACATAGAGAGGCTAGGCCACAATGAGTTAGTTTTTGAGAACTAACATTAAGATGTAGGGTTATTGACTTCATACCTTCACCATTTCTACGATTCTATGTCAGGATCCATTAGTTATACATATATTGATTGTTTTTATATAGTGCGAACATTTTAGCCAATATATTAGCATCATGTATATCTTATTGTGTGTGCGTAACTGACAAGTAGAGTGATAATTAACCCTAAAAACTTTATTTGCTCCACCAAAAAAAAAACTATTTTACTATTCAGTAGCCTGTCAAACCAATGACACTACCTCAAAACTAATGGATTATTGCTAGTATAAGGTATTCATAATGTTATGATCATACCATACTGAATTTGAGGTTCAAACAAAAATCGTCATATATGCTCAAAGTGCATTTTTTGAAAACTTAGGGTTTTAATATTTTATTATTGTGTTACACATGGCAATTCAATTCTTCTTATCATGATGATAAGACAAAGGATTCCAAATCCAAATCATTTTTTTTGTGACATTACTATACTGATATATATAAAGTCAATATTTGGCATACCTTTGATCATTGGTTATGAAAATTTGGTTGGTTTAATCGGTCAATTTCAATTTCGTCACATTTTGTCAAATGCGACAAAATAATTTCCCGTCCTGCAAAGTATTTCACCAACCATTCTTAATCCAGTAACAAAAATCTACTCAATGGTGTAAATCATCTAAATAATAAAATACTGACTTGATAATCAAATGTTGAACATCATCATGCAAAACCTCGTTTCAATGAATCTTGTTTCAACGAATTATAATAAAACTTGCATTACAATGATTTTTTCAAATTTTTGCTTTACATAGTGTATATCCAGTGTATAAATTTCGTCGTGTAACAATATATCCAAATTTAGATGCGCACATTTTTGAAGGACATAATATTAATTATTTTATTTATAAAAAGTATATTTTAAAATACAATAAATTTAATATAGTTTTTTAAAATCTATATCCTTCTT